TCTACTACTATCAAATAACTTACAATTGGCTGGAGGACAGTGGAAATCATCACTACCCATATAAACATTTGTGCTTAGCTTAATTTTTCCAAGCTGAGTGACACTCTTCACCTTCTCAATAGATGGGGCTCTTTCTGCTTCTTTTCTATAAAATACATTTCAGCAAGTGAAATAAAGTTTAATAAAAATCTCAGCTTTTTTTTCCCCTCAAGGCTAACACCCTACCAATTGAGCCAGAGCTCTACTTCTGACATTTTGCTGGTTAATTAGAGACCAGAGTATCACAGACTTTCCTGTCAGGCCTGGCTTTAAACTATGATCCTCAGATCTCAGCCTCCTGAGTAGCTAGGATTACAGACATGAGCCATAGGTACCCAGTTAGAACTATCACAATTGAAGCCTTAAAACACTCCAGAATTAACACCAAACGCCATATGATACCTGAGTTGTAGGCCTTAAGTTTGTCTTTCCATTTTCTCTTCGTTCTCTGAGTTGCATATATATAGCAGAACACTGTGTACCACAGAGAAATAATATAAATAAATCATGTCATAAAATGACCTTTCCCAAATCACGTTTTGGCTAGAAGATGTTTTTCACAGCTGTCTCTTTGCTCTGGCTACAGATGCCAGCAACTGTAGAACTGTGACTTCTAGAAGTTTGACATCCAGTTGAACATAATTCTGGGACAGCTAAATTCCACAGGCTTCCTTTTTGCATTTTTTGGGGGCAGATTGAAACTGTATACTGCTGATGAGCCAGCGTGTGTATAAATAATAACTTCATTATCTCTGGCCTTAACATTTGCCTCTGAAGAGAAGGAAGTTGTTCTGGAAGAAGAATCTTAAGAAAGCGATATGGAGAGGGACTATGTACTTATTTACTGTGTTTGTTGATTGGCCTGGTTGAGATAGCTTTGTTTGTTGTCCTGGTGATTGTTGGCCACAGTGACATGGTGAATGACTTGAGTCTTCTTTTATGCTATACGAGAATGAGACAGGCCTGTGTATACCAGGAAATAAGATGCAGCCAAGTGGGGAGAGGGGGCTGTTGTGAAGTAGGAGAAGGGTGAGGGCTCATTTTTCCCAGGTGGTAGTGTTTTTGTGGAGGCCTCTGACGGCCCACACTATTTGTCAATATAGCCTAATCCACATGTCAAACAACATTTCTAGTCTGCTTTCCAAAATCCAGCCTGTCTGTGTTGATTACCAGAGAGACTGGAATTCACAGAAACACAGAAATACCCGAAGGGGTTGGATTGGGTAGGTTGTGAAGGAAGAAAGCTTGGCCACTTTTTTCTATTTTTATTTTCCTGTCAGGTTTCCAATTTAGTTTTAGATAGATCCTTGTATTGTCATTGGAGACAGAAGGAGAAGTCAACATTTAAGGGATAAATTCTCTGATGATATTGCTAGACTGTTCTTGCTCCTTTGCTGTTCCTAGTCACTGGAAATCCTTTTGGAGGGAGGTAGGAAATATGTCACAAAAGGGCTAGGGGGCATGGCACAAGTAGAAGAGACCTTGTCTGCAGGAGGCCCTGAGTTCAGTCCCCAAGATTGCAAAAATTAAAGAGGGCACTTTCAGTATCACAATTGGGAGCTTTGAATTCCTGCCTTCATCGTTCACTCCTTTGCTAAAATTCTTCACCAGTCTTCTTCTCTTCCTCCTCCAGTTTTCTTTTCTCCTACTTCTCAAGATGTCTTCAGATGGGAATGCTCCTTTTCCATCTCTAATTCTTCTCCTCCCTCTCCATCTTTCCTCCAGTCAAGATTCACTGTTTAGATCTAGGTTCCTTATGTTCTAGTTTAAAAATGGAATCATTTTCCCCTTCAGAATCCTAGAGTACAGCCAACAAAACTAGGTTAAAATGGAAGAGATAGTGTCCTTAAGCCTTGGGATTCTCCTAAACTGGAAGTTTAGTTTTTCTTGGAATAAATTGTGGCAAATTCTGTGTGAAAAAAGGCAGGATGAAGCAGAGTCTAGAAAAACTGAAAGTTGACCCTGTTTGTTAGTAAATAAACCCTTCCTTCCATTTTTCTTCCTTCCTTCCTTCCTTCCTTCCTTCCTTCCTTCCTTCCTTTCTTCTTTTTCCTCCCTCCTTTACTTCTTTCTTCTCTCTTTCTCTCTCTTTCTTGCTTTCTTTCTTTTTTGTACTAGAGCTTGGGCACTTTCCCTTAATTTTTTGCTCAAGGTGGCACTCTACCACTTAAAGCATACCTCTGCTTTCAGCTTTTTGCTAGAGTCTCATGGACTTTCCTGCCTGGGCTGGCATTGAACTACAGTCCTCAGATCTTTGTCTTGACTACCTGGGATTACAGGCATGAGCCACAAACTTTCTTTTGAACAACAAAAAAAAAACACTTTCATTTTCAAGTTAAATTGTTAATATATATGCTGTCAAAGAAAATACAAACTAAGTCACTAAAAGTAAATATTGATGCATTCATTTTCACTTTCAAAATCAGTTATATAGTGGATGGTGTTAAATACAATAGTGAAAGTAAAACATTGCCAGCTTTCTAATAGATGCCATAAAATAGATAACAATATGCTTTAATAAAATACTTATTAAAAGTATTGATTTCATTTAAAGTTTTTAATGTACTGGCTAGTTTCAGTTTGGTAATACTGCCAATAATCATTTTCAGGTGGCTCTACCCAACAGAGTAGCTTTATGTAAAATTGTGATTTGGCATTTGAGTATTCCAAGTTCTTCAAGGGACCATAAGGACTTGATCTTTTGCTCCTATAGTAGATCTATTAGGAATACTCAGGGCTAGAGTGTTTTCTTCTGTTAATGTGACGATGTGCAGTTAAGAAGTAGGTGATAATTACTACTTAAACAGTTTAACTCTTTCCAGTCTACTTAGTATTTGAACTGTAGGAAGAGACTCAGAGCTTTAGCCCACAGATGTGTAGTTCTGTCAGCTGTACTTAAAGACATTATTGTGAAGATAGGATGGTATTTCATGGGATTATATATTGTGAAAGTTGGAGGCAACTTAGAGTATTAATTTATACAAACCCTGCATTTTAAAAAATGAGAAAATTGAAATCTAGATACAAACACAATCATCAGGACTAGACCCTTTGTGGCAGCTGACAGTGCAAGTCTGGTGTCTGTGCCCGCATTTATACTCCCTTCTGTTTTTCCAATTCTTTCTTCTTTCTCATGTCATCTCAGACTTGCCTCTTTTCACAAGAAGGAGTAGGAGAAAAGAGGAAACCATGGAAGATGGAGTCATTTTGTCCCTATCTCTAAAATGAACACTTTTTATGATGGTAAACTAAATACAAGTTACCACCTCCTCCATCAACCCCATTTCTCCCAGAAATAATAGAAACTATGGCATGTTTAAAATGGATCTATGCATAATCTGTGGCAATAACAGAGGGAGACTCTCCATAGTCAGTCAATTTTGAAGAATTTGTGGAAGATTTTAAGGGGAATATTCACTGACTCATAGTAACAATATATTTTTCCAAAATAAAGTAGCACATTGACCTATATATAAATGGAAAGCTTCTGCAAGTGACCTTGTCTAGTCATCAAAAGAGTCCCAGTGAGACTTTTACATGGTTCTATTTATTCCCAATCAATATCATTTTATCCTTTCATTTTATTTTCTACACTTGAACTTGATTGATTCATTCATCCATCAAATGTCAAAAGATAATAAGACTTTCTCTTGTTTTTACTCATATTTTAATTACTATACTTTATTAATTCAAAATTGTCTCTCCCTTAAGTAACTCTAGTGAATTCTTTCTTCGAGACCGTGTTTAATATGTTTCTTCTCTTGGGCCTCCTAGTGTTTGACTACTTTGATTAACTCTTATAAAACCTGCATCCTTTTTGGAAATGGCCAATCAGAAATATTTTCTGATAGGAAGTCAGGACCTTTACAGACTAGTAGATCACTACAAATATTTTTCAAGTGGACTTAGGATCAAATGGAGATTCCATATTGTCATATCATTGATTGCATTTGAAAAACATCATAATATGGTGTCTTTTTGCTGACATGTTGACTGGGGTAGAGGGAAAGGGGAAGGGGAGGCAAAAAAAATCCAGAAAGATCAATGTTATACAGGTACTTCAATGGCTTGGGGCAACAATTGGTGGGTGTATTTTGTTGTTATTGTTAGAAAAAAAGGAATGTACCTGACATAAAGAAATTATATAAGTTCAAAGTAATAAAACTATCACTTAGCCTGAAAACAAATAATTATTTTCTAATAAATAAGAAGCCTAGAAAACTAATTTTCCCCCCAGCAATTTTAGCTGATTTTTCCATATTCAGGAGAAAATATGTACATGCGTGAAGTATGATTCCTCTTCACAATCTGGTCCAAGGAACCAACATGGCACTCATACAACATTCCCTGTGGCATCTCTGTGCACCAAGTAGATCTGGGGTCTGGAGAGCTTGCTGTACTTGTATGCCAGAATGGGCATCCTCTTCACCACTGCTACAGTGTTACAAGTGCTTGAGTTTGAATGTGGAATGTCCCATAAAGTTCCATGCGTTAGATGCTAGGTGTCCAGAGGCAGGCTTTTGGGAGATGCTGTAAACCTATAGGAGAGAGGGCCTAGCGGGAGGTCTTTAGGTTATTGGAGGTGTATCTTCAAAGTAAATTAATGGGCCTTGGCCTCTTTCTCTTCTCTTCTGCTTCTTGACTAATGAGGTAAGTGGTTCTGCTCATCTACCTGCTCCCTCCATGATGTGCTACCTCCCTACAGACCCAAAGCCTAAATAAACATTTTATAAGTTAATTATCTCAAGCATTTTGTTGTAATAACAGAAAGCAGACTATGATCAAAAGCCTCATACTTTTCCAGGCCTGAGTGTTAAACCTGACTGTACCCTTTATTAGTAAGTTATCAAAATTCAGCCTCCGATTTCTTGTCTTCAGAATAGTATAAAATAATACCTTCCTACTATTTTCATGAAATTTAAATGAGGATAGGAAAATAATGATTAGTTCTTCAGCCTCGTTCCCGGGTAGTATAAAGTTTGCTGTCTCCTTTGTTCGCCCTCGTTGCGCAGTAGTGCTAGCGGCATCTCCGTTCGGTTCCGGGTCTCGGTAGCTGTCATATATACATATACATATATATATATTTTTTGGTGCCGCGCTGTTTGGAAGGTCCGGTCGGCGAGCTCGTAGGAGCTTGGGCCCGTCGCCACCCTCTCCGAGTATTACTCGCCAGGAAAAAAAATGGTTGAAGCAGATCGCCCAGGAAAGCTCTTCATTGGTGGGCTTAATACAGAAACAAATGAAAAAGCCCTTGAAGCAGTATTTGGCAAATATGGTCGAATAGTGGAAGTACTTTTGATGAAAGATCGTGAAACAAACAAATCAAGAGGATTTGCTTTTGTCACCTTTGAAAGTCCAGCAGATGCTAAGGATGCAGCCAGAGACATGAATGGAAAGTCCTTAGATGGAAAAGCCATCAAGGTGGAACAAGCCACCAAACCATCATTTGAAAGTGGTAGACGTGGACCTCTTCCACCTCCAAGAAGCAGAGGTCCTCCCAGAGGTCTCAGAGGAGGAAGTGGTGGAACTAGAGGACCTGCCTCACGTGGAGGACACATGGATGATTTTAACATGAGTTCTTCCAGGGGGCCTCTTCCAGTGACAAGAGGCCCGCCACCACGAAGTGGGGGTCCCCCTCCTAAGAGATCAGCACCTTCAGGACCAGTTCGCAGCAGCAGTGGAATGGGAGGGAGAGCCCCTGTATCACGTGGAAGAGACAGTTATGGAGGCCCACCCCGAAGGGAACCCCTGCCTTCTCGAAGAGATGTTTATTTGTCCCCAAGAGATGATGGATAGTCTACTAAAGATAGCTACTCAAGTAGAGATTACCCAAGTTCTCGGGACACAAGAGATTATGCGCCACCTCCAAGAGATTACACTTCCCGTGATTATGGTCATTCCAGTTCACGTGATGACTATCCGTCAAGAGGCTATAGTGATCGAGATGGATATGGTCGGGATCGTCACTATTCAGATCATCCAAGTGGAGGCTCCTACAGAGATTCATATGAGAGTTATGGTAACTCACGTAGTGCTCCACCTACACGAGGGCCCCCGCCATCTTACGGTGGAAGCAGTCGCTATGATGATTACAGCAGCTCACGAGACGGATATGGTGGAAGTCGAGACAGTTACTCAAGCAGCCGAAGTGATCTCTACTCAAGTGGTCGTGATCGGGTTGGCAGACAAGAACGAGGGCTTCCCCCGTCTATGGAAAGGGGGTACCCTCCTCCACGTGATTCTTACAGCAGTTCAAGCCGCCGAGCACCAAGAGGTGGTGGCCGTGGAGGAAGCCGATCTGATAGAGGGGGAGGCAGAAGCAGATACTAGAAACAGACAAAACTTTGGACCAAAATCCCCGTTCAAAGAAACAAAACAAAAGTGGAAACTATTCTGTCATAACTACCCAAGGACTACTAAAAGGAGAAAATTGTGTCAGCTTTTTAAAATTTTCCTGTTAAGTTCCCTTTCATAATTTTTATGTTCTTGTGAGGAAAAAAAGTTACACATGTTTAATTTTATTTGTTATTACAAATTGCTTTCAATAAGCAAATGTCAAGTGTGTAAGACTTGTACTGGTGTTGTAATTTTCCAATTTAAAGGCCACTTCCTATCTACTTTTCCCAGTAAGTGAGGCAAGCAATTCTCAGATCTTCCACAAACATCTGGCCACCTAGATATACATTGGTCTCCATTGAGAGATGAATCATCCTGCCTATACAGATAAACTAGCTCTTAGAGGGTGGTCGGGGTACACTCCTCTTAGGATTTCAGGGTGTCTTCCAACTGAAATCTCAATGTTCTCAGTGTGAAAAACCTGAGATCAGATACCTATGTTAGCAAAGTGCTACTCACCCAGTAACCCCCCCCTCCAAAAAAAAACAAGCAAACCAACAATGGATAATGCTGGCCATATATTGTCTTTTGACATTTCCTTAGGAATCTGCAAGAGCCTCCCTTTTCCCCTCCCCCAGTAAGACCATTTAAGTGCGTGTTAAACAACTACAGAATACTAAATAAAAAGTTTGGCCAAAACCAACCATGAAGCTGCAAAAAAAAAAAGAAAAGAATGATTAGTATTTAGTCTGAGGCCTAATCTATTATAAGCATACATAGGGCTAGGTTATTATGTGAATAGATTTGAACTCTTTTTGTGAAATAGAGAGGAAAAAACCAAAGGATTTATCAGGCAGCTTTTACTGAGATACACATTGGAGAAATGAACTATTGTTATGTACCACAGAACAGCACTCTAGTTAATGACAGACTATGTGTAAAATGATAGTCACATATAATGATATCACCTGTGACAACATAGTTGTCTTAGTTTATCTGTGCTTGCACAATTAAATGGCCTAATGATTACATTCTCCAAATATATTCTTATCATATCACTATACTACTTCTATGCTCTTCAAAACATTAGTTGTAAGGTTATGGACTTTTCCTTCAGATAAGTAAAAAAATGGTCAAATATTAGCTTATATCATCTAATCTAATGATAATTTTATGTTCAGAAAGCTAAAGTGCTTGAGTTAATCACTTTTCATTACTGCAACGAACTGCCAGAGAGAAACAATTTAAATGAGGGAAGGAATTTTTGTGGTTCAGGGTTCTGGAAGTTTCCATCCATGGTTGGCTGACTTGACTGCTTTTAGCTCCGAGGCAGGATAGAAACATTGTGATAAAAAGGCATGGGAGAAGAAAAGCTGCTTCCTTCATGGTGGCCAGGAAGAAGAGGGACAGAAGAAGGAGGAAGGGTAAAGGATAAGATAAACTCTCCAGTGACAACCCCTCCCCATTCATCTACTTTCTCCACCGAAGTCCCAGCTCCTAGTTTCTTCCACTTCCCCATGACACCAACAAATTTGAATTCACCACTGACTAAGTCCATTGATCCAGTCAGAGTGCTCCATAATACCACCATCGGAGAACCAAGCCTTCAACATATAGCACCTGGGGGATATTTCATCTCCAAATTCTAACATTCCTGATGGTTTTTCTAGCCCTATAAAAATAAGACACATCTATTTTTATCTAGTTTGATTTTTGATTAAGGTGAAGATAGGTGGAAACTTGAACCATCTCTACTCATTTATCTTATCCTACTAACAACATGGTAGTCTGAACCTAGTACATTGTCAGGCCAAATCCCTCCTTAGAAAACTAAGTTCAAACTATTGCTTCATTTACTGACAGTTGTAAGATATTTTTCACCATACATGAAATATTTGATGCTATTTTTAACAGAGAAATTTAAAAATCTTCCTCCTAAGTGAGATGCCTCATTCTTCCAACATACTTTCAAAATTATCTTGATAGAATTTGGGCAATGAAGCAGATAGATGTTTTGTTTTTTAATTTAGTTAGTGTCTAGTTTGTTTGTTTAAGAATTCCCAAGTCCCCAGGCTTTGTTGTCTAAACCAATCAATCAAATCTGTCATTGTTAGTCCTTGAATTATCTAAAGATGGAAAGCCAAATTTATAGATAGGGCAAAGAGACAATAGAAACTGTAGTCTCCAGGTTTCTGGGTACCACAGTGGGGGTGGTCATGGCAGGGCGCTCTAATATCCTTAGTGTATTATCATGTACCTAATTATTCACCTACAACACTTATCATTCACAAACATGGTATTTTCTACTTTAAAAAAATCTTACTAGTGTTTAAGGCAGTTTGTCAAAGGTTGTCCCTCAGATTCTAAGCACTAGGCTGAATAAAGGACATTGATTCTCATCTAGAAATGTTATTGATGCCCCCAACCCAGCGAACATTTGCCATCGATTACTAATATTTTGTGTTTCCCCAGATGGGGAGGGGACTACTGGTAGCTTGTGGAGACAGTCAGTTCCATGTTCTATGGTGCATAGGAACCACGCTGTATATGCATACTCTGGTAGCTGGTTATCATTCTCAATGTAATCATGGGATCACTGTTGAGAAAACTCAGCCAAGAACCTTCATCATTGTCTAGCCAAAACCTTTGAACTAATAAAATGTTTAACTAAAGATTTTAAATGTGCCAGTGAGACTGAGGCACTATTTAATTCTTTCATTTTAAATGATATATAATTTATGTATTTTTATATATAATTTATATTATATAACTTTATATGATATAATATATTATATATGTTTTAATAACATATACTTATATGTTCTATGTATATGTATATATGTATAATTTATATGTAATATATATTTGTATATATAGAATTTATATGAATATAGTACATATTTATCTATAATATTATACATAAGCATATATTATATATAACATGTATAATTATAATATATAAGTATGTGTTATATATAATATTGTATATTATTATATATTATATATATTATATAATTCATATAATATATGCTTTATATATAATAGGTAATATATATAATATATGTCCATTCTTTTGGATAATACAGTTCATAGGACATTATTTTTTTCTTGCTTATAAAGTATCATAATAGTAATATTTTTGTAGAGTTGTAAGATTCAAATGAAAGAAATAAGTATGCATTATTTGCTGTTACCTTGGGAATTGAAGAATAAGTCTGCATAGTTTGAATAATAATTATCTGATATGCCTGGGTTCAGAAGTGTTTGGGATTTTAGATTGCTTAAGATTTTGGAATATTTGCATAATTATAATAAGATGGATAGGACCCAAATCTAAGCCTAAAATGTATCTATTTTTTTATTACACATTGCCTGAAGGTAATCAAGTATGCCATCATAAATAGTTTGATGCATTAAACAAAGTCTGGGGACCATAGCAGGACAGGTATTGAATTTTTCAATTGCATCCTTGAATGAGCATTCAGAAAATTTCCTACTTTGGAGAATTTTAGATTTTCAGCTTAGAGATGTCAACCCATAGACCAACACCAAATATTCTGGTAAATAGTCATATATTATTTATGTGTTATGCATATGCACAAACATGCCCGAGGCACTTGCCAAAGAATGGTGTCACATAATAACTACATATTCAGATAATATGCAGGTGACTAAAAGGCAGCAAATGATGTCCCTAGCCCTGCTCAGTCCTCAGGCATGTCATCCTGTCAATATACCAAGACTTCACGTATAGAGAAGCCTTTCCCAAGATCCAGGAGAATCTAGACTGGAACAGATACATGAAGGGTGATTATTAGCATCACTCTCCACCCCTGCCAAGGTTAAATTTCCTTAAATATCATCATCTTGGCTCACCCCTATAATCCTAGCCACTCAGGAGGTTAAGATCTGAGGATCTCAATTCAAAGCCAGCCCAGGCAGAGAAGTCCGTGAGTCTCTTATCTGCAATTAACCACCAGAACACTGGAAGTGGCGCTATGGCACAAGAGGTAGAGCACTCTCCTTGAGCTAAAGATCTCAAGGACAGTGCCTAGGCCTAGAGTTCAAGCCCCATGACCAAAAAAAAAGTCTGGATAAATAACAATGATGGGTGATTTTTGAGAAGAAAAATTTGTGTGAACTTCCCAGAGCACACCTTCCCAGGTCTCTCAGTCCACAGCTGTGACTCCAGGGTGACTTTGGACCACAAAAGAGTGACCAACAAATCTCTGCATAGAGACCTACACAACTTGGTAGGCTCACTGAAAACTGGGTCCTTCAAGGCTGGCAGCCAATGCTGGATTCAGACTTTTGCTCTTTGGGAGTAAAGCCAGTCTCAAATCTCAAGATTTACATGAGTTAGAGAAAGGGCTCAGTTGTTAAGAATCTAAACGCTTAAACTTGATATTGAAATAAGAACCAGTTAGGTTCCTTCTGTATTCCTATCCTGATTATCTTTCACCTTAATCCCCTTTGGAACAGGCTCTGAACTCAAAGGAAAGGAGTTTAGTGCCAGAGAAAAATCAGATGGAGATTAAAAAAAAAAAAAAGGACTGTGGGCTTTCTTCTCCTCTTTTCCTGTGGGCGTCAGCTCCATTGCTATCTCTTTAGAGGCCTAACCCAACAGTATACATATAAATCAGATCTCCTACCGCACTTTCCTGGCTTGCTATTACCTAATTACCTCATCCATGTTCCTCCGTTACAACACGTCTGGGAATTACGAGTTATATATTTGGGGACTTACTGCTTTGTTCCCCTGTGCTGTATCTCCTACCTACAGTGTGAGGTCTGTGTGGAAGGAAGACATTTCTGCTTGGTTTGCCTTAGCATCTTCATAATCCAGCACAATGCCTGGCACATAGTCAACAGGTCCAGTTGGATGTGTGGATAGATAGAAAAAGTCAAATCTCTATGGGACCTGAAGACTATCTAGAATGAGAGTAGAAAAATTGTACACAAAGCTGGTTTGTGGGTGAATACCACTGATTATTCTTCTCGTTGGTAAAAGTTATAAATTATAATCAATGGATATTTTTTTTCATATTGTCAAAAAACAAACATCTCCAATTTCCTGGATGGGAAAAAAATGTGATT